TTTTACACCCGGGCCTGATTGTCACCAAGGGGTTCAGTTCACTGCTCCATCAGCTCGACTACGATTCATATCGCTCCGTTGAACGGCAATTCGTTAGTCCCTTCTTGCCTGGCGATCTTTGTTGTTGAAAATAAACTTTATATTAATGCAATAATAGGCTTCCTAAAACAGACACACCCTGAATTTTGGAAACTGTCAACAACAGACAACCATGAGCCATTTTTTACTTTGTTAAGAGAGGATGGTGAGGTAAGTGTCGACAGTAAATGCGGATCGACTAATCAGCGTTGTTTTGGGTCTATTACTCGAATTTGGTTTGCTTTGGTAAGCCGATGTATCGGTGTGCGTCATGTCTTTAGGAAGACACGATTACCGTTTTTATTAAGTACACAAACATCTGGTGGCGAGCTGCGGAACCAATATTGAAAATTTTTCCAATATATATTCATCTTTCCGGAATTATTTCACTTTCTACGTCATCTACATATACAATGGTACGGGGTGGTGTTCCTTGATCAATTTACGAGAATTTTTCGTCCCTTTGCGCTTTGAGGCCCAAGCCTGAGCCTTCCCAGACTGTCGCATAACGCCTCGTAGTATACACGCAGGGGTAACAACTTAGACAGGGGAGAATTTAATGACCATTTTTGGCTTATGAGCCGTCCCATCTGTAGATTTGTGGGACTTAAGATTGGATCCCGGATTCTTTGAGCATTGGGCACTAGATTGTTCAACGCCCTGTCTTTGAACTGGCTGACGTATTTTCTCTAGGTTTTGCTCAGGAAAACTTAGTGCCGCAGAATGGACGTTCATCGACCGCATTACGGAATTCGCTCGTTTCGTTAAACCTTGTAACCCGATCAAGAACTCTCACGGCCAGTCCCTAAGCGACCGATCATACTAAAAGGAAACTATGACATGCGCTATTCGTACAGTCATGATAAGTTGCTTCAAGATTTCTCGATACTGTGGAAACCAAATCTTATCCGTGAGGTAGCCTTTTTTTTACTAATTTCAACTCCGACTTAATAGGTCCACTTTGACATCTAATCTAACCAACGTTATTTTTACACGGTGGACTGGGATAAATGTCCATGTAGCATGATCAGCAGTCAAGATCAAATGTTTCAGATAGTGTTGTAATGGGCTCAAGTCTACCTTGTTTAGGATAGATCTTTACTGGTTAAGACACCAGTGTGAATGAGAGGATCATTGACATTCAACTCCTGATGTTCAATCCAAGGTTACTTAATTCTGTCTCAGCGACTACACGTCGTTGAGCGCGTCATTGATAAAGGTTGCCGTCGGATATGGTGAAAAGCACCTGCTCATTTAAAGTTATCAAGAACCCTTTGCTCTTTCGAATTCCACGTTGGTGGAATAATGTTAACGTCGTTACGACAAGAATTTTAACGGCTTCCCGGTGGCACTCTGATGCGCAAAAGTTCTGGAAAAGTAAGCTACGCGAATTAATGTAGGATGGGAACTGTGATCCTGGGAGTTTTGTATGTGGGGGGGGAAGGAGTTATACGCAAAAAGCATAAAAAACGGAAAATGACTGAAAATAGGAAGCAGACCGTGATAGAGCTTTGTTAAGTGAATGAATAATTAATTGGCAAGGTCAGGCACCGTCTACAAAATGGGAGCAGAGGGCCAGTGGCAGGAACAGAAAGTTAGGAAAAATTTGTTTGTGACAAAAATAAAATTGACCTGAAGGGAACGTAGGCCAACCAAGGGAACGGAAAAGATTAAAGCCATAACCAAAAGGGCGTGTTAATAGAATCAACGATTAAAGCTAATCCACATTCCCAACCTGAAACTGTCTCTAAACCTAAAC